TTTTTTATAAAATCTTTTTAGTACTTTTTATGTACACTCCTAGGACTTGAGACCATTTATCTACAAACAATTTTACAAAAATGTGTCCCTTTTTTGACACTCGATTATTATTTGACCCTTAGCAGACCATTGTTGTGATGTATGTGCATTTGATTAAATATTTTGTATTCGGTATTCAACTTTGGGTGCCTAATGCGCCTGTATTTTACTATTTTATGATAAGATGAATCAATTTTTAGCTCATAGTATCCGTGAAAGTGATGGGCTTTTGTTGGTAGGAGATGCTGTTATTGCAATTTTGCCATACACGAGTATTTCATTAATCAAAGTTTACCAATCAGGAGGAAACCACAGCGAAAAATAAGCGAATGTTGTAAACAATATTATTACATTATGTTCCATTGTAAGAACATTATATACATTTATTATACGACTTTATTATGAGTAAATATAAATGGAACAAGAGTTTTGATTTATATTTACTTTGATATTCTAATATTCAGTTCTTGTATACATACGTGGCTCTACCAAAATAATAAATACAATGTAATTAGAAACGCATGTGGTAATCTTTAGAGTTTAGAGCAATGGCTACGGGCTACAGCTTACAAAGGCAATGTAAAATGTGGACTTGGACCCTCATAAATGAGTCATGCTCATTCTCTAGAATGATTATTATCTTTTTACACATGAAGCAAAAAAAAGTATTCTGGTGAAGTTTCTCTCAATAAAAATTTTATTTGGTTCATATATGTAAACATATTATAAAAAACTTAAACTGTTACCATTTATAGAATAGGTTTAAACATATACATCAAATCAGGTCTAATTATTTAATTGTGTGTATAGAATTTATATTCGTATACATTATAAACAAAATTGAACGATCATGAAAACAACAATCTTTTAAACGAACATAAAAAAAAAAAAAAATTGTACCTTAATGTGTTTGTGTCAGTTCATTTGTTGGTTAAACTTAAATGAACAAACATACACAAGTCTTTGTTTGAGATTATTCGATTCGTTTACATTCCTATGTACAACAAGTTAAATTGCTTTTTTAATCATATTATTTTTCTACTAATAATATTTAATAGCTAATTACAAAATTAAAAAGGGCTAATAACCTAAAACAAAAAATTTTTAAAATTATCAGCTTTGAATATTTATCATTAAATAAATATATAATTTATAGAATAATTTTCTATTGCAAAATTGCTTTTATCAACTGAAATCAATTTTTTTTTTCTCAAAATGACATTAAAGAGTCACGATATTTTTAATGATTTTACAATAAAACCATAGATCAAGTATTTTGTAAAAGATATATATTTCACAAAGTAAAATGATCAATTTGTGATCAATGTTTAAAAGATGATCACTATTACATTTACTTTGTCTTTAGTCATAAAAGTGATCAACCCTTAAAAACCCGTTATACCAACCTCACTCGTCTAAGGTGTTATTTGAAAATTTTGAACAATTTAGGGATAAATGATTCCAACCTTTTAAAAGTTAGAAAAATATGAGTTTTTAAATTACACAAACGGTCCCTATGGTTTAGGATAGCATGTGTGTTTAGTCCTTAATTTTTTTTAACTCGGATAATCCCTATAGTTTGGTTTTATTTAGCGTTTAGTCCCTACAGAATTGACAAAACTATATTGTATTTTTCTATTTCTATTTTGATTTAATTGTTTCTTATAATATTTTATAATATCACTCAACCAACTTGGTCCCACCTAGACCTGACAATAGAGCAAGTTTTGACCACAATATGATCCAAACATGTAAGAATTATATGGGTTTGGAGTAGGCATGTAAATCAGTCCGGAATCGAACCGGTACAAAAAAAAAAAAAACAAAAACCGAATAAACCATAAACTAAGAACCAAAAATCGAACCGAATACCACTATTCGGTTCCAACTGGTTCGGTTTCGATTCTACTAAGAAATGTGCTATCTAAGAAGGTGTTCGGAACCGAAACCGAAAAAGTCATAAACTAAGAACCAAAACTGGGCCAAATCCCACTATTCGGTTCCAATCGGTTACGGTCCCGATTCGGTTTTTCAATTAAAAAGGTCATCCCTAGTTTGGAGCGTAGTTTTTGATTTGTTTACCCATTAACGACCCTACCCGCTAACTCTTTTATTAAAAGGGCGGGTATGGATCATCACCGATCCGGTCCGTTTATAACACATCCCGTATGAATTTTAGAATTATAAATTTATATTATATATTGCTTAACATTTAGTTTTAATTCCAATCGAAAATCCAAAGTGCAAAGACTAAAGGCCAAACCGTTTTTACCTAGTACTCGAGGAGTCGAGTTCTAGACTTCCAGTCTTCTGTCTAGAATTATGATGTCATTCCATTTATATTTCATCAAGCAATTTCCAATTCCATTTATAAATAAATAAAATCATTTATCAACCGAAATAAATTGTGCAATTGTTATTCGTTATCACTACAATCGACAGTCAGAAATCAATCGAAAGTTGCTACAGAAGACATTTTTTTATTTAAGAAAATTTATTTTAAGAATTAAGTAAAATGTGTTTCATTATTCAACAAACATACATGTTACAAGGTGGGTTTGAATATTTGTTGATCCAGTGGATAAGGGCATAAGTTTGATTATTCAAAATCTTTCGGTTTATGGAGCGGGTTTGGATTAGATTTTGAAATTTGTTAAGAGGATTTGGATCAAATTCGATTCACTTTAAAACCGCTCCATTGCCAGACCTCCTACCTACTCTATACCCCACCTCTTTCCCCACCCGTCAATCTTTTATGTAAGATATCTCTCAGTTATCATCTTCATTTAAGAACATCAATGACAATAATCTTTCATCCCCATATAGCCATTGATAAGCACCTTTGTCGCCTTCATCGTAGAAAACCATCTTCGCTGTCAGAAACAACACCTGCCTTCGTTCCTCTTTGCCTTTGTTGTGTATCAGATCTACATACCAGGAGAGATGACATGTAATAGATCTACAAATCAGGGAGGATTTGGGCGACCCTTGTCGGCGTGTAGCAAAGGTCTCACCCAGTCCCTTGCCTCGAGGCCCTCCACATTCAATCGATTATTCTTATTTCCAAACGGGTTTATGAAAACTGATTCTCCTTACGCCCTTCTGTTTACGATCTGCGATTCTTCTTGGTGTTTTGATTCAATTTGTCTAGGCCTTTTTTTTGGGATCTTCTCTGTTTTATTTTTCTAGATTTGAACCCTAGGTAATTGATTTCGTCTACAAAAGTGAAGGAAGGGAGTAGAGTGATGGGGGGATGTCGTATGCAACATTTTTTAACAATGTATTTCTGATAGAGGTGGCAATGGGTCGGTCTGGGTTGGGTTTGGGTTCAACCCATTTAATAATTGGGTTGAAATTTTCAACCCAACCTAAACTGTTTATTTAAAAGGGTTGATATTTTCAACCCAACCCAACCTTTTAGATAAATGGGTTGTCAGCGGGTTGATCTGTTTATATAGTTCCCGACCCAACCTATTAAATAAATGGGCTAAACTTAGGTTAACCCATTTAAAATCAATTAAATAAATTATATATTTAAATATTATATCACCTAATTTATAAAACGTAAATAAAACTTCATAATTATGACAAAAGCACAATCCTAATTCACAAATACAAATAAATTGTTTAAATAACATAAAAAATGTTTAGTTTCACAATGATTTTAAAGAGTGACCGGTATTATCGACACTAAAAGAATGATGAAAATTAGGATTGAATTTTATTAAGCATAGATAATAATAATGGAACATTATAATTTACAAATTAAAACTTTGATTAATATATGATAATATTCAAATAATATTTAATTAAATATATATATTAAAGTTAAATGGGTTGACGGGTTGAAAACGGTTTGATAATTTTACCCAACCCAACCTATTTAATTAAATGTGTTAGACGGGTTGACCCATTTAAGTTAAATGGGTTGAAAATCTCAACCCAACCCGCTAATTTTGGGTTGGGTCGATTGTTGCCAGCTCTAATTTCTGACGACTCTAGCGTAGGGACAGATGATGATACGGTTTGGGGAAGGATAATGGAAAGAGAATGGTTGTGGGACCCTTTTTTTAATAATAATATTAATAATGATTTAAATAATAAAAAGTTGAAAAAGAAATAGAAAATATAGTATATTCTACTTTGGCATGGACTAACCACAAAACAAAAACAAATGGTCCAAGCTAAAAAAGAAAAAGTAGAGAGCTTGACTACCCCAAACTACATGTAACATTCGTATAATTTACTCTAGCTTTTATTAGTATTTAATTAAAAGGTACAAGTTAGGGCTAGCCTACTTTGCTAATAAGGTGTTTAATGGAAGCGGGAAATGGGAGAGGGAAGCTTCCCTCTCACTGGAACACCATCCATTGGGTGAGGGGAGCAACCCGCGGGAAAGAGGTGGGGGGAGGGGGTGCCGCACTCTCTCTCCTCATGCTATTGGACAGTTTTTTTTATTATCTTTTTTAATATTTATAAAATTATATACCTACTAAAAAAATATATCAAAATTCATGGTTTTTAATTCTTTACAAAATGAGTATAATATATATATGAAATATATTTTTTTAAAAAAATAAAAAAATAGTGAGGGAAGCTTCCCACCTATTCCTTGGGTTTTAGGTGAGGGAAAAGAAAGTGAGGGAAACATCCCTCCCATACCCTCCAGTCTAACTAGGAGTTTCTAACCAGAAAGTTTTGGGTTCAATCTCAGGCAAGTACTAACATGGCCGTTCAGTTTCTAACCAGAAAGTTTTGGGTTCAATCTCAGGCAAGTACTAACATGGCCGTTCAAAAAGAAAATTAATTAAAAGGTTGTATCAAAGATAGTAAATGCTACTGATTCTGAATTAGTAGGTTATCTAACATCCCCTAAATCCATTATTCAATGGTATTATAACACCTTATTAAATGGATTCAACCAATATGTTATGCGTTAAATACAGTAAAACTAAATGTTACAAGAAATAAAAAAAAATCAATTTTATTTACTTTTTAGTTAAAAATTCAAATATTCTCGAGAATAACCTAACTAGAATTATAAGATAAACAATTTATTTCAACCAAAAACCTATATGTGTATACACAATTTCTAAATTTTGTTTTCAAAATCAAGCTAGTTTAAGATGAAGAGTCTCACTAAACTCCAACCTTCTCGTTTCAGTATAAAACGTCTTGTACTTGTTGGGCCAATAAGTCAACAAAATCGATCCTTTCACTTCCCATTCCATCGTTTGCCCAATCGCATCTCTTCCCACCCTCCACAACACACTTTCTCCATACTCATCGCCGGCGAAAATAACCCCTCCTTGCCTCGTAAACGGCCGGTAAACGCTCGAATATCGATTTCTGAACCAAGATTTCGGATGAATCAACGCAACCTTTGAAGGTTTCGATGAGAAAACCTCTCGTCCATTAACGCTATCGTGAAGGAACCAATTGAAAGATCCGCTATAGCCGTAGACCGATTGTTCGAATTTCCATGGCTTGAGGTTGGTGATGACGGTTTCACCGGCGGAAACGGATATTCCGATGACAGGATTTGGTGGCTCGAATGTGCCTTCGATGGATCTCTCGATGCCGATTTCTCTTGCAGGGTTTTCAGATGATCTGCTAACAGAGACGCTTAAGACGTTGGTTTGGATGGTGGGAGTGAGTTGTAGGGATATGCGCGATGGAAAGTGCTTCTCTTCGATTCCTGCTCCACACTCTTTCAGGAGAATATCGTTCACGAGTCTTATCACATCACACCTGATTAAAATATCAATTTTTTGAGAAAAAAAAGTCAGTGTAAATCCTTAATCCTTCTTTAATTGTATACTATTAACTTTTTTTAGTGTCAAACAAGTACCACGTGCACCACATGTTTGAAACTAATACATTATTAATATATGATTTCTATGGATAAATCGATAATTATAGTAAAATACGTTAATATATTACAAAAATAGTTGTTACCAGAGTTGGAAAATCTCACAACAACAACAACAACAACAACGTGTGTTTTGAAAGATTATATACAGATCAACAACAATTAGTATATATGAATAAAAAGTATTCCGTGTTATAAATGAAAAGATCATTCATATTATAATTGATTTTTAGGGAGAATCTTTATTCAAGAAAGTATTCAAAGGTTATATATGATTGCAAAAAGTGTTGGTAGATGGCGATATATTGCTTGACAACAAATCTAATCGTAATGCCAATAGTGTCCTTTTCTTTCAAGCAATGTAAACAAACCAGTTAAGCTCATCATATCAATTTACCACTTCTTTTTTCTAGTATTAAACTTAGAAATTTATGTCACATTGTTCAATAATATTTTTATCAATTAATGTTTATATTAATCTGTTTACCCTTACAAGTTGTTAAATAATTTTACATTTTCTCATCGTGTAAAGCTATCTAACAAAATTACAAATCAAAAGCAAAATTTAAAAGAAATTATATAAAAGCCCAGTCCGTTTAAAAGAAATAGAAGGCCAAACGAATTATGTTATTATGATCCCTTTTTCAAGATTTTAAAAGGAAATAAATAGCTGATTAATCAAATAAAAACACCAATAAATTTATTAAAAAAAAAAAAGGAGACCTTTTTCCATACCTTACGTTGTCGATGCTAACTGAAACATCAATCCATTTCTCTCGAACAACAACTTGATGATTCAACTGGATCACCCCTTCAACCTGATGATAATTCAACGAAAATCCAAGCTTTTGATCTTCTACTCCAGGAGGACCGGGACTATTACACTCCTCAATCTCCATAGCAATCACTGGACAATACAACTGAAGTTTCCATAACCCTAATCCCGAAGTCGCGGATGAATACATCGGTGATGGTGCTTTCCAGACATGATGCTTTTCTCGTAGCTCTGTCATCCAGTTTGTGATCGCAAGATTCATGGACCTCATCCATTCTTCTTCTGTATTCGACCCCATTAACCTCATCAATCTTTTAGACGATTCCCTTGCCCACGAACTTGTGAATGGATCTTTAAGCGTGTTTATGCAATCTCCCCTGATATCTCGGGGAGCTTCGTAAATCGATACTATGAAAGCTAGCGACAAGAAAACGAAATTGAAGATGTGCTTGAGGTCGTGAATCGAGTTGGGTTCTGGGAGTTTTAGGAAAGATTTGGTGGGTTTGGCGGGGGTGTAGTTGATGATATCTTTGATGATATTCATCAAGAGTTTGGAGATGGTGACTTCATTAAGCAAGGTCTTGTTAATGGCGGATTTTAGTGGTTTAGAGGTCCAAAGAGAGATGGGTGACTTGTAATTCAAACGAATGGAGATTGAGAAGGAAGGAGAGTAAAGTAGGGTTTTTGAAATGGAGAGTTCGAGAGAAGGGTGAGATGAAATAATGCATATGGATTTGGTGTTTGTTTGCCATTGTGCAAGTGGTGGTAGGTTTTGAATCCAACTCCATATGTCAGGAAATGAACAAGGCGCCATTTTATATAAAGATAAAGGAATTGATAAGGACATACGCTAAGCTAATTAATATGCAATGCTTGATCTTAACGGAAACTCGAATACACGTGGGTGTGTATATATAAAAAAGAGAGAAAGAGAAAGGAAAGAGGGGAAGAGATGATTGTATATATCTTTGGACTTTGAAGGATGAACAACAAACACATAATATATAGAGGATTGAGGAGGAAGATAACAGCAGAAGAGAGAAATTAAATAAGGTCAAAAGATGTAATATAAAGTGTACTCATTTATTTATTATGTTCTTTTTTGGTTCGATGGTCAACTTTGTTGACCTTAGTAGGTAACCCCAATCCTAAGCAATGCCCTCAAATCATTTTAAGCCATGTAATTGTAATCATTATTAATAACTTTATCCGTATAGCAAGAGTTGAAGCTAGAGTTGAAGCTGATGAAAATCAAAACTTAGTCAATCTTTTTAGCTTCTTTTAATTTGGAGCGTGTTAAATTTGTATCTATCACCTACGGAATTGTATAAAGTGTATTATTGACTATCGAGCAGTAGGGCGTCTATTATTTATGTTACAAACACGTACATTACACTCTTCTTTATTCACAATTATTTATTTATGGAACTATGTTACAAACACGTATATTACACGATAGAAAAATTAATATAACATATATATAATACTTCCAGTCGTAGCAAATTCATAGTGTTCATATTCATTAAAAATTCAGCTTGAAAAAACAATAAAGAATTAAAATATATAAAAATAGAAATGAGAACAAGAACCACATTAATAGATCAAATTTAGTTCATATTCATAAAAAAATGGTTATATTTATAACTAGGTGAATACTAGTGCGTTCCACATGTTAAAAGAATATCGGTGAATTTTGTATATACCCTTATTAAACATTTAAATAATCCAATTATCTCACTTCCTTTATTCTCACTTACTAATCCTAATATGATAATCTCGAGGGATCTTTCTTAAACGATCTTTATCAGAAGACAACTAAAATTACTAGGTGATTAGACACGACAATATGATAATATTTTAGGTAAACACGTCAACACGGCAGTACATTAGTACTTTAAATAATCACAGCAGGCACGACAATACAATAGTATTTTGGTTAAGTAAGACAGTACAAAAATACTTGGGATAGACACGGGAGACATGACTCATTATTTCACACGACTTTTACTAACTTATCATAACCACTATCTCACACAGTCATATCACAACCTCTCACTTGTTATTTCGCACAACCCTTTATTACCTAATCATATTATTAAGTATGATAAATATATGATTTAATCAAGTAACAATCATATTGCACAACTACGTTAAACACAAAAAAGACAACACACATAGCAATTAAGCATTTAGAATACTTTGTATCTACGTCTAAGCAGAAAGTAACTATGACTCACCTAATAAAAGTGGATGCCTCGGAATTCGGGCAGAACCTCGCCTTAGCACTTTCAATGACCTAATGTATAACACTAAGTCTTAGTTTAGTTTCATAATCTCGGCGACTATAATAATTATAATCTAGATTCCTTACTAATCTCAATGTCTACATCAAGATCTATAAAGTAATGATCAATCAGACATGATAGTTGGGAGGCAGGACCATTTCGCCATAATAGCTTTTTTGAAATCCAACAACCAAACCAACGTGACCATTTAGACACTTCTCCTGTAAGTAGATCAATCAGTATAATGACATGAAATTGCTGATAAATCTTATTTATAGATTCATAACAACGTCTATGACTATAAATATAAATTACACTAAAATAGGGATGTGTGTAGTTTACCTTACAAAGATTTCCTAGACAAAAGTCTGGAAATTGCATTGGCAGGGCTTCTACTGGATATCCACTAAGCGTTGGGAACATAGGGGTTACAGGGCTTTGCCAAAATGCAGAAAACTTAAGGGAAAGTAGGCAAAAATCAAGAGAAACTTGAGAGGAATGAATTACATAGGTGTGAATTTCGAATGAGGGCTGAGGCTCTATTTACAGCCAAATTTGGGGTGTACGTCGCACATTTTAAGGCTACATCTCCCCATCTGCTTTGTGCCACGTGTCAGACTCTCCGTGGTCCACATTATCACCTTCTAGAAGTGTGCGGTGCAAAAAGCAGATTTTGTAAATTCCGCAACTTCTTCATACGAACTCCGTTTTTGACATTCTTTATATCCCCAGAAATCTATCGACGAGATCTACAACTTTCCTTTACACTCCATCGGCTAATTCTGAATTTATTTTTAGCCCTTATTGTTATATGATTTAATGATTTTACAAAAATCATAACTTTCTTGTATGGACTCCGATTTTGGTGTTCCTTTTACCAAAATTCATATTTTTAAGAGTACTACGATTTTCATTTTGGTGACTTTAACCAAAAGTCAACTATTCTCTTCGTACCTATTGACGTTAATAATTTTTAATTACGAAGTTGATTTTTATATCTTATAAAATTCATATCTCCTTCATATGAACTCGGATTTCTACGAAATTTATATTTTCGGGATCACGTCGACGTATACTTTCAAGATATTATATATATATATATATATATATATATATATATATATTTGAACACTTATTTTTACGATTTACGTACGATTCAGCTGATTTTTTCTGTTTTCTTTTCACTTAATACAAAACTTGTATTATATAGTCTGCAGCGCGCACGACTATAAATTATCGTATTCAAGGATTTAAATCTGATAACTATTACTTATTATATGTAGCCTGAATTTGCGGGTGTTACCATTACCCCCCCCCCCCCCTTAGGATGATTACATCCCGAAATCATCAACAAAACATGGATTATATAATGATTCGGAACATTACTCTTCCATCCTAGGTGATAATTGTAACTCTTATGTCCTTCTAATGAGTTTCTAACTCTTATAATGTTGACGGTGCTTAATCTTACACCTACTCTTCCTTCTAAATTTGATCTCTATTGGAGGTCCTGCTCTGTCTAGAATAGACTTAACCTTACTTCGACTACCTTAACAGACTGATGGGTCATGTTCTAATGACCTCTCATCGTATGATGTAACGGTTAGACTCAGGTCTCTTTGAGTCATACTCTATCACGAAGGATACCTTCGTTCGTGTTCTAATGTGATATAATCACTATAACATCCGGATTCCCAGGTATCATAATTTAATATTTGTTTTTGGGAAGAGAAGAGGGACTCGATGAGTAGACGCCTAAACTCGTCGAGTAGGAACGCGACTGATGACTCGGATTAATGAATGGAGTCGACGAGTCGGGGAGTCGACTCGACGAGTCCGCGCTGTGGACAAAAACCCTAAATCTTTGGGCATGTGCCCTATTTAAGGGTCCTTATGGCCTTCATTGCGGCCACTCATACCCTTGATAGACACCATTCGAACCAG